TATTAGCTAAGATTTTATGCTATTCTAATTGGTGTAATGTAAACAAGAAGTAGTTTAATATAATTTTGAATGTAATACAATAAAACCTTGTGTCATGTGCAGTAAAGGATACTCGTGGCAATAGAATTAATCTAGTTGCTTCATCATTGGCTTTTAAAAATTTAATAAGGATGCACAGTTCTCTATCAGTGAGCTGTAATTGCTGTTTTAGTGAATGCAGCAAATGATGGCGTGAGACACTGCTTTACACTCCTGTCCTCCTGCTGAAACTATTGGTTGGATTGTTCTTACCATTGCTGTCACTGCTATTATGATCACATACAGTGGCAATACAACAGATGGGCATGATGTTTATATACACTACATAACAACTACCTGTATTATTAGTATTATGACCACTGGGGCTTCCACTCTTTAATACTGTGGAAAATCCTAATATATATTTAGAAGCTAGTAGAAGGCAACAGTGGATTAGGTAACGTATTAACTATCATGTGTGATGCACGTGCACGTTGTATCATGTCTGTGTAATATTGTGAGATAATTTATTGATGGAAGTTGTATCTGATTATCCAGTTCACTGCAAAATTAATATCCACCTGAATTGGATTTCATCACAAAATTAATATTCAGGTGAATCAAATTTCATTGAATAGTGTACTATGGAATTGGATCAGACATTTTTTCCATCTCCAGTATTCAGTGAAGATGATAGGAATGAATAAATCTTCCTTCTTTTTATCTTGATTTCACCTGTTTAATGTTTAATTGAGTGGTTGTAATTTGTTATAGTAAAAGCAAGAATAAATATTTTTTTCTTTTTTTTTCCAGGATGTGGCTTATCGTATAAGTGATTTGAACAAGTTTTGCAGACAAGAACAAGATTTGATGAAGCAGTTCAATTACCAACTCAGCCTTGCTCCTGGTCTTCACAGTAGTGTTATGAATCTAATGGGAAGAATAGGTATCTGTCTTTATGTCTTTATTGTGGAACTAATTTTCTGAAAACTGTGACAGACTGATAGTTGTCAGATTTACTTATAATATTCTAAACCTTCTATCAAATGCTTATATTAACCATTTATATGAAGACAGTAAAACTTGTATATAAGTGATGATTATTAATTTATGTATGCACTTTGAAATACTTAATGTAGCATGATTATTGCTCTATATTTTAAACTTTTCAGATGAGATAAATATATAACTTTATAAGTACCTGAAAATGAGCTGCAATGAATTATTCATTACTTGAAGGTGTCCAAATTCAACAAAACATACGGAGTTGTGGTATTTTATTCAATTTATATTCTTATCCATACAATTTGGTAGCTAAGATATGCTGTTTATTAAAGTTATTTTAAGACTAAAAACCATTTCTAGCAATGTTGCTACTGTGAGTACTTTCCCCATCTTCAAAGTTTTTAATTGGTAATCTCTGTTTATGCACTTGTTAACAGCAGAATGGCTTTATAACAGCCTTCCTTCAAAAGTTTGAATTAATCATCCATATTTTTGCACTAGTTAAGAGAATGCTCAGAACTCGATAAAAAAACAACTTGTAAAAAAATTTTAGAAATTTAACAGCAAACCTATTCAAAACTCAAATAAAAGCAAAACATGTTCAAACATGCTTATTACACATGCATTATCTTTAAAATATAAATATGCAACATATTTTTTTTTATCAGAATAAAATGACATAAGCAATATTCTGAAAATTGGCTTTTAAAAATCATTTTGATGCTACAGAATATATGAAAATTGAGATTTAAAAATATTACTGTAGAAAAAATTTATTGCTAATTTCTAACAACATATACACATACAGATTAACATGCATCCATAAGAGTTGCTCGTAGTAGGCCTTATATC